ATCTGTGAGTTAGTCATGCCCTGACTTAGATCAGCCCTGAGGTTGTTTCAGGGTTCTACCTGTGAGTTAGCTGTGCTCTGACTTAGATCAGCCCAGAGGATGTTTTGGGCTTTTTAGACCAGATAATAATCTCAACAATTTCTTTTCATTTCCAGGTTAATAATCAAGATATGACAAATGCCACTCATGATGAAGCAGTAAGTGATTTAGGCTAAAAAATTAAAATATTCCTGAACTTGTCTACTCACTTGTTTCAACGTCTTCCTTTGTGCTTTGGGGAGAGGAAGGGGAGGAGGAGGGGGCAGAGGAAGTTGAGAGGGACTCTGAGCTGAGCTGAGGTAGAGGCTAGCTTTAGCTTTAAGCTTCTTTAAAACAAATCACTGATGGTTGTAACATTTTGAACTTCAGCTAAAAAAATACCACATCGAACACCTTAGACCTAGGTCAAAAGCCGAACTTCACATGAACCTAGATTAAACAATGGATAGCAAGGCACTCATATTTGATGTTATTAGGTTAGGCTCATGCAAAGTTTGACGTTTGACCTTATTCACCTTAGTATGGCTGTGGAGAATAACCAATTACTCCTTGCATTTGACATTTTGCTAATGCCAAACACTATTACTCTAAAAGTTTTATCTATTCTTTGTTTGTTTCTATGTGTTCCAGGTGGTGGCTTTGAAGGAAAGTGGTCCAGAGGTGGTGTTGGTTGTTGAGCATCCAAGTACAGGGTCTTTGGGTCGACAAGAAAAACAAGGTAAAACTTGTAGATGACATCTCAAGATTACGGCTCATTCCATCACCTCCCTGTGTCTGTGATGGAGGGCCATAGATTTCTCAGTGAAAATTGTTATATGTCAACCTCCTTAAATAAAGTTGATTGATTGATTTGTGATCCAAAAAACTCTTGGCATGGTGCTTTTACTTTGATAAATTAAAGCTGATTTTTGGGTCTGAACAAAAAACACAGCACATTTAGAACACAGGTTGGTGTACTGATGACCTGCTGTTCTGTCTTATTCAGCAAATGGTATTGTTAGAAGTATTGAAGAATCCAGTGAAAGGCAGCGCTTCATGAATAGTACGGTAAGAACATCAAACTTGTTGGGTCTCTCCCTTGACTCAAGGGTTTTATCTGGGCTCTCCAGTTTTCCTCCCTTCACAAAACCTAACACGCTAAATTTTAATTCGATTGTTGGATTGGCCGTACCCTGACTTACAGATCAGCCGAGTGGTCACTTTAGGGTTAAGAAAATTGCCTATAGATATTTTTGCCTATAGATATTTTAGTTGATTCTTTAGCAGTTGCTTATATTATATTTCCTTTTAATTAGTCTTTCATCTTATCTGATTTAGTTAAATTGTCACTGCCATTGACTGTGATGGTATCTTGTCTTTTTTTTACTTGATGCAGTCTTCAGATTATGGTGAAACAGATTCCATGTCATCCATGCAGAGTTGGACGGACAACATCATTCTCCCACTCACTTTTGCCTCAATTTCAAGATACAAGACTGGAGAAGATAATCTCAGGTATGGATGATACTTTGTGCCGGTCATGCCTAAAGATACCCAAAGGGACTATGTTCGATAACGAGGTCACTGTTTCATATGGATCTTAATTGTTCATTTTTAGTGCTCTTGAATGTTTCATCTTGAATACTCTGTGGATACTCTATTCTCTGTAATGTGATAAGTTTTGGATGATACTCTGTACCAGACATGCGCAAAGTTCCCCAAAGGAACTGTGTTCCATAACGAGGTGCTCCGTACTGATCTTAGTTGTTAATTTTGTGTGAGTTCTCAAATACACTCGTCTGTTTAATTCTATCATGTGTTAAGAGATACCCATGGAACTTTGTTGGATGATGAGGTGTTTCGTATAGATTTTATTCAGCGCTTGGTGTTATTACCATTTCAATGTCTCAGCATAAAGTAATGTATATTGTGCTGTATGTCAGGGCCATATGTTTCCTACTCATGCAAAAACCGCTCTGTATATCAATTATTATTCCTTGATATTATGTTGTGTTTCAGGTCCAATGCGTTTGAAGTGAGTTCAATGGATGGTGGTGCATCAGTTGTATTATACAGTGAGAATAGTGGAGAACTGTTATCATGGTATACAGCCATCAAGGACAGGATATCCATGCTCCTGGATCAGTCGGTAAAACTAACTCACTTACTAATAGAGATTTTTTGTGGGTTGACTTGACTGGCTTTGTTGTTTTACTTGGGTATAGGGACTGTCTAAGATGATTTAAGCTCCAGATCATTAAGGTGCACCATTGTAGGGGATAAATTGTTATCTCATGTAACCTGATTTAAATTGATTTACAGTCAACTCTCGTTACAGCGGACACCCTCAGGACTGTCACTTCACGTACGTAATAGCAAGCGTCCTCATAGCTAGAATTAATTACGGTCATTTATTGGTCAATATTGAGTTGTCCGTAATATTGGGGTGTCTGCAAGGAGAGAGTTGACTGTATGACCAAAACTAAAAGTCAAACCAGCTTCTACTTCATGCAACATTGTTGTGTGCTGGGAGCTAATATTGAACAACATGCATTTTCAACTTGCAATGATATTGTTGCATGTTGATAGACTTATGTATTTAGGGACACTATAGAAATCCACACTTTTCCTTATGAAACAGTTGTTGACTTGAYGTCTCCATTTATTTTAGATTAACATGTCCAACTCATCACTACCTTCAGCCGAGCAGATCATCCACATGTGCTGGGTCTGGGAACGTATCCAATCAACAACACACTGGAATGTGTGGAAGCGCAAGTTTATGACAATTAAAGGCTGCGAAATAGCCTTATTTGAAATGCCTCCGGTAAGTGAGTACTGTTTTTACTCCTCCGATAGACTAACGTTGGAAAATTAAGTACAAATTACTTGCTTCAGTTTTTTTCAAAATTTTATTCWTTTGATTCCACAAATCAGCACAGTCCACATTATTCAACACTAGTTAATATCAGAATGAAAGCCTTGGTTTATGCCTCTGTAAACCCATCCTTACGAGTTTGGATGGCTTGTGCTGCTTAKTTCAAGGCTTGTAGCTCAAGCAGGTTCAACTCTCATATGAACCAGAAATCAGTGTTATATTTTTCCCATGTGTTATTTTCTCCCTTGCAAGTAGGGTTTTTCTCCAGGTTCCGCAGTTTTCCTCCCTCCGTAAAAATCATCATGTAAGTTGAGTGATGTTTGATAACAGCAGCTATTTTTTGTCTGGTATTTGCAGGTTGTAACACGTGACTGGCTTCAAAGTGAGATCACTTTTAATTTAATGGAAATTGTATTCCATGTTTGTCGGGTGCGTACTTTGTACTATACTACCAATGTAAAAAGCACCATTTTACCAATCACACACTTACAAGATTAATGCTTGGATCAGATGTTATATAATGTGAGGTTATTGTTTTCAAGCATTCTGATTGGTTGAGCAGTAATAATGCATGCAGGTTTTGTCATCTTCACCTGTCACTTGTCACCATTTTTTAAAATTCATAACTTATTGAAATACTGCATGGAACACGGCAYGTCATGTTTTCCAAAGTCTTTTAACTTTAACTTTTGATTTTGAGGTTTCATTTTTTTAAATATTTTATTTTGTTGTGTAAATCTGACCTTGGTCACCCTTACTTATGCCTTCATATAGATGGTCTATTTGAATCCTTAAATATTACACTTTATATCAGATTTTTTTCTTATTTTTTCTTAATTTGACTTTAATCCTTGTGTGGTTTATACCCTACACAGGAAGATGAACTTCTTGACAAGAGAGAAAACTGTTTTTACATTCAAACCTGTACAGGAGAGAGCTGCTACTTCAGTGTTGGTTAGTACTCTTAATAATACTTCTCTTTTGAAAGTTTATTTATCTACGAAGTACATTTACAATGTACTATACCAAACTTCTGCTTCTTTTGTCTGGATGGTTCACCCTTTTGCTTAAAGAAATAAGTAGAAATAAGTAATCTCTGACAAGAAATTAATATCATTGAGAAATGGAATGACAAAAAAAAGCTTGGCATGATTGGTGGGTGGGGTGCAGCCAACTCCAAAAAAAGTCATAAGTTCTAGTAGTACCCTTTTCGTACAGCAACTATGTAGACTAAACCAAAGAAGACCTTGGGCTTTCTGTTGAGAGAGACATTTTTGCAACCATGCAGTTTTTAGTGCATAAAGATGTCTTTTCTGAATAAAGGGCATGATAGTTGATCTTTATATAAGTAAGGAAGAAGGTACAGTGATACCTCTATTAGGCTGTCACAAAATTTACAGTAAAACTAACATCCAGAAGATGTTAATTTAATATACAGCTACCAGTGAATATACTAAAAGTGGTTTTGACTTCTCACATGTTTGTAGATACACAAGCTGACTGTACAGACCTTTCTAACAGTGTACATCGTGCTACTCATATCTCAGTCGCACAAGTAGAGGTTGGTTGAATGATGAGCAAAAGCTTTATGTCAGTTCCTTAATTTTTAATTTCACTAGCGCAGGATTTACTTTACTTCACTATGAAAACTGTATGGCATTGATGTCAGTGCATGACATAACTGTGACTTTAGCACATTCAAGCATTTTAATCACTTATATGACCAATAATTTTGAGGACTGTGATTGGTGTTGAATTCYTTGATCCTGTACCCTGACCATGTGATACCCTGCAATATGGTACAGCCATACAAGGTCGCTTCCACCTTGTGCCTTACAGGTTGTGTGCCTTTTAAGGCGTGATGAGAATTCACAGTTGTCATTAATGAAAGCCTTAAATTCTGGACTAGTTAATGATGGTACTTAATCCTTCCTTTCAGTGTCGGACTTTTCCTGGCAAGTGGCATGGACGTGCTGTCAAACTTGTACTAGACTTAAAGCGTGGTTTACGACTGTACAGTGCAGAGGATAGGGTGAGTATGTCAATGTTGTGTGCTTTGTAACTAGTGTTTAAATCTACCTGGGTTGCTAAAGACAACTGGAAACCACTGGAAACCAACTAGACTTTATTAGTTTTGCTATCAGAATACAGATTCACACTTTTCACTTGTTTAACGGTTTGATATGTACTTTCTTAGGGTCATTAAGCATGAGAAAGAAGCATTGCTTGATGACCCTAAAGAAGTTTACTTACTAGTTTGATAAGGTCACAGACATATAACAACGGCTCTGAATACCAATCATTTCTTTGAATATGAGAGGTCTTCAAGAAACTATCATTTTTGTTACAGACGTTGCTATGGCAATACAGATTTTCTTATCTAAGAGGTTCATCAGATGACGGGCATAAGAAAATCACCCTTCTATTTTCACCTGCTCCAGGGGGACCATTTGACAGACAGGTATGTAAATGGATWGTTTTTAGATCTTAGAATAACTTGGTGAAACAGGGATGGCATGTATGGGTGGTGTAGAGGTTTACCGCTTGCATCTCACTGCTGTGGTCCGGGTTTGAGCCCCAGCTCAGACTGGATCATATGTGAGTTGAGTTTGTTTGATGTGTTGTTCTCTCCCTTGCCATGAGGATTTTCGGTGGTTTCCTCCCTCCCTAAAAATCAACATGTGAGTTGAGTGTTGTATGTTGTAAATATAGAATGTAGTGTTGGTGCATGTGGAGGGAACCTCACAGAAGAGCCCCATACTGGGAGTGGCGTGGTTGTAAAATATATAAGTTTTTAAACAGTATCATGCATTCATGCAGTAGAACAAATCAAACCAAGTAATGTAGTTAAAGTGCAGAATTGGTTTTATTTCAAAACCAATAAATAGAGCTTATATATATAACTGCCCCAAATGTTATGGCACACTCATGGAAATGGGACATCCATTCAGTATTTTTTATCAAGTATTGTTTATCATTAGTATGACGAGATTTCAATGTCTGTTCCACTTTGCATGCTGGACTCATCAAAAGCTAATTTTCATCCACGAATTTGAATTGAGGTGCATGATGTAGGGTACATCCATATACCACCGTGCTATATATTCATACATCACTTATCAATCCAATGCATGTCCAGTATTGATCATTAAGTCATTACCAGAGTTATTTAAGTGTTGTGATCTCCTTCTTAAGGAACTTGAATTTACCAATATGCAGCTAGTGCTGACAGTGATGCACGCCTTCTATGCTGCTAAAGTTGCTCAAGTGGACCCAAAATTTGTAATGGAAAATTCCTTCTAAACTCAAGAGGAATGACACAGATTCTACTTGGTGGAGTTCGCAGGGTAAATCTTAGCTATAATGACTGGCTCTTCTTTGGTCAGATTGATATCAATAGAAATGGTGTTGCATTAAATGTTGCCATTTAAAGAACTTTAAAGAAACCTAGGTATTCCAGACTGCAAATGATACCTAATATTTTACATAACTAACACAGGTATCCCACTAGGGGAAAATGTGGGACAACTACATGTACAAAGGATGGGATAAAAATAACCTTGCATATGGTTGCTATGGAAATGACAAAAAACACAGGTTTCCCAAAAGGGCAAATAGGGGAGGTGGAATTTAAAACGAAAAAATGATTAATGGTGTAAATTACAATGAAATTTAATAGAAATTGATATTGAAAAATATGGCTAAATAAGAACAAAAATAGTGCAAACATTAAAATTTCAAACTTGGCTTGCCGTTCAGGACTAGATTACTAGAATATTATTCTCCCTGATGGGAGGTCAGTATTGAGAATAATTCACCTGAACATCTCATCATCTGCTCTCACAGTGCCATGGGTTGCATGCAGAGGCCTTAACACTCAGGAATGCTTTCAGATTCCATAATTTCTATATACCTATTTCAAAACAGATAGCCATCGCTAAAGGCAATAGGCGAAACGTTATAGGTCATTCCAAGATCCAAGAATAGCTGGAATGACTTGTGTTTCTGCTTCTTATTCTCGACAAGAACATGGACCTTAGTATTGAGACTGATTCAATGTTGTTTGTATTCAACAAGACCATTTCCATGTCAGAATGACCGCCTATTGTCTTTGGCGAGGACAAACTTTTTTGAACAAGGTGTATTTATAGAAGCGGGTTATTAGTGGTCAGCCCAATCACCTGCCYGAGGGCATAAAGCTGAACAACCCTGTAATGAAGATTACAGTTAGCTTTCATCTATCGTTACTACTCAATTCACTAAACACCTTTATTGTTGTTGATAGGATTTTTTTTTTTTTTCATTTCAAAATATTTTATCTCTTTGTAGGGGTAGAAAGAACTGATATAATTTACAGTGTTATTTGGAATTTTGTCTTGCTAATCTTAAGGAGCTAAAGGGAGAGATTCTGGTTCTTTGACAAAACTTTTTTGCCTGAGACTGATCTTATAGCCTGCATGTATCCTAACATAAGCCATCACTAAGGTCTCAGCTTGGACTCCCTAACTCGGCATCACTTGTGAGTAGAATTTGGATCTCTTCTTGATTCAATTGGTTTCCTCCTGCTGTTTGGTTTTCCTCTCTCTGCAAAACCTACAGTAATGAGGTAAATTCCAATTTGATCACAGTTTACGGCTTGTAGTACATGTATCTGCAAAGTACRCCATTCGTTGTTCCAACTCCGACAATAGCAAACCAAACACYGTTGCAGCAGTTTTCCCAATGGAATTAAAATCTTGTCCCACAAACAACTTCAGAGTATCTGTTTTAACAAGTACTACGAGGTTAATGGGGCAATTGTTTATTCTTTTTGCAGGACAGTTAACAATTGAAACAATTTATAATCAATTTCCCCTGATCAGAGTCTTAAATTCTGTGATATCCTAGCTAATTTGTTGAGATTGTGGGACATAGCAACTGTAACTAAGGGGAGTTGGAACCATGAATTAGGGATATACATGTATAACACCATTTGTTGTACAGATTTGCAGACAGGTCTAGAGCAGATGGATGGTTTGTGTTAGGATACAAGCAACTATTAATTATATCCCTCCTCTTTATGAGGACAGAGTCTTATATAGTCAAATACTTTTATTATTGCTATTATGATAATAATTATAATATATATACACACACATACATACATACTAACTAAGAAATTGATATATTTAAAGAAATTCTAGAAATTAATGTTGCATTAACGACTCCAGATAATAAATTAACACATTTTGTGAAAATTTCAAATTTTGAAATCTGGATTATATTATTATATTATTATATTATTCTCCTTTGAGGAACTATTTGATTGATTTTACCTAACCCTTGAATTTAATTAATTTTTAATGTGTAGTTCCAGAAATCATCCATACCCACCCCACAGAGGAATTTGGAATTTCCGAAGAGTAGGGGGGTCAGACAAAGAACAAAAATTACTGAGTTTGTATGGAAGAAAATTGGAATTTCTGGAGGTAGGGGGGTGTCTTAAAAAGATTCCTCCGTAATGGGGGGGGGGGGTATGGATAATTTTTGGAACTACAAAATATGCGATTTTAAATTGTCATCCTTGGCTTGGTTCTGCAAGAGGCTATAACTAGTTCACCCACGGCCTCAGGTAGCCCCTTAAAGACCCATTGCCACTTACCGTGATGCACTGCGGTCACAGATGAATTTCGTGGTCCATGAAATTCAAAGATTCATATATTGAATAATAACTTCATATTAAATCCTTTTCCGACATAGCACTAAGGCACAATAATGATTCTTTTACATTCTTTTAAGAGTTTATTCAAAAGGTTAGAATTGTTTTTTCAGTGGTGACATGATTCAAAATGTAAACAAATTGTGATGCATCACGGTAAGTGGCAATGGGTCTTTAACCATTACTTGACATACATGCAACAGAAATCAATTATGAAAATATCTACTAATATAACCTATTACAGTGATTTTACTTGGCCTGTGAGTAGTAACCATAGTAGTAGACAATAATACCATCGCTTTCTTTTGTTTACTAATTGACTCTAAAGTCACTAGTTAATGTAAAACTTTGTTTCACAGAACAAGTAAGATCACTCTGACTATTTCATGGGTTATTATTTTTGGGATCCTCCCTCACCACTCAAAATGTAGCCTACAACACTGTATCATTACAACCAAATTTGTCTCCACAAATGTTCACTGAGAGACGCCAAAACTACAAAATCTTTGTATTGCAGATTAGGAAATTTTCTTGGAGCTATTATTGGGATCCTCTTGCACCACTCAAAGTGTAGCCTACAACACTGTATCATTACAGCCATTTTGCCTCGATAAATGTTCACTGCRAGACTTCAAAACTATAAATCCCTATATTGCAGATTGGGAAATTTTCTTGGAGCAAAAACTTGTATAGTTTGGATTGTATTGTTTTGAGGGTGGGAAATTTGATTTTGCTTTCTAAATAAGTCCCATACAGAGGTATGATATGTGAGATTCCATAGATGTATCAAAATATTGACCTTTCATTCAGAAGATGGGACTTCCTACAAAAAGGTATARCTTCTATCTCCTCTTGATCTGTGCTCCAGCAATGTTTCTGTAGAGAATACRAATCAAAAAAACTATTAGTATATTTTCATGGTAATATATAAAGGATGAATTCTACAGTATCCATGTACTACTGCCAGATGCCTTGAAGAGGAAGGACTCCCATAATGGTACGGAATACTGACGACACACTTCACAGTGCCCGAGATCACTACTCAGCCAATCAAAATGCTTGAACACAGAACTGTCATAATCATGGCACTACACGTCTGTACCATGATATTTCGTCTGTATTCTACTAGTTTTGCTGATTTTACAAAATATCATGCTTGGAATCAATTGGCATGCCTGGCTACACATCTGTACCATAATATTTTCGTCTGTATTCTACTAGTTTTGCTGATTTTACAAATTAT